AATTAAATATTGAAATTGGTAGGTATAACAATGTAGATAGGATTGAAAGAACATGTGCATACTGCAACAGTGGGGATATCGAAGATGAATTTCATTTTATATTAAAATGTGAATGTTTTTTAGATTTAAGAAAGCGTTTTATTAAGAAATATTACTATGAAAGACCTAGCATGTATACATTTATCCAACTTATGGAAACAGGGAACAAAAAACAGTTCACAAATTTAGCCAAATATGTAAGTAATAAGAAAAGAAAAGACTATGTACCTATATAAATAGGGATGTCTCTCTACACTATACCAATGGGTATGTGAGTGTGTATTTGTGTGTGTGGGTGTATTTGTGGGGGTGTATATGGGTGTGAGTGATTGTATTGTTTATCCTTGTATATATGTTTATTTTGAACTGATGAGCCGTAAGGTTCAAGGTAATAAAGAACTGAACTGAACTGTCTGTCAACGGCTTTTGCGAATGGCTGTTTCGCATGGATGAACATGACGTCAAACTAATTTTGAACGCAGATTACACAAGGTAAATGCATGTATCCGCCTCTTTAAATCGTTTTATTGTGAAAAGAAAATATTGTAAATATAAGGATTAACCTTTTATTTTGTTTAGTTTATGAGATAATAAATCCAAAGGAGCACGAGGTAAATTGTTCGTAAACGCGAATTTACCTCGTGCTCCATTGGATTTATTATCTCATAAACAAAACAAAATAAAAGGTTAATCCTTAAGTAAACTTTACCCCTCCTACAGGGAGAAGGGATGGCCCGGGGGTCCTGAAATTTACAATTTAAATAAAGCTCCTGATTATTTTTCCATTCATGCAGAGAAAATGACTGTAGTACCTCTGAGTCTGGAGAAGAAGGTTTTTGAAATATTGGTTATTTTCCCTTTGCGGCCCCGCCCTGGCCCCTAAGGTTGGGGTAGGAATCCTAATTAAACAATTTAAAACCATCTTCCTCAAAGGATAATTCTCACCAAGTAAGACTAATTTCCTACAGAAAATTGTCAAAATATCCCCAAAAGTGTTGTTTCCCTATATAAACTATAGTAAACTTTACCCCCTCCCCAAAGGAGAACGGATTGCACGGGGGGTCCTAAAATTTACAATTTAAATAAAGCCCCTGATGATCTTTCCATCCATACAGAGAAAATGACTGTAGTACCTCTGAGTCTGGAGAAGAAGATTTTTGAAATATTGGTTAACTTTCCCTTTAGGGCCCCAAGCTGGCCCCAGGGGTTGGGGTAGAAATTCCAATTTTACAATTTTGTAGCCTCATCTACCAAGGATGATTCTGACCAAGTTTGAAAAAATTCCATCCACTGGTTCTTGAGAAGAAGTTGAAAATGTAAAAAGTTTACGCACGACGGACGACGACGGCCGGAAAGTGATCGAAATAGGTCACTTGAGCAAAGCTCAGGTGACCTAAAAATGTGATGAAGTCATCGAGATTCAATTAAACTATTTCCAATAGAAAGATTAAATTGATGCGTGTTGACTGCAAGGTTTTCTGACTACGCTAACTTATGAAATTAAAACGAAATTTAAAGACAATTTTATATCAAATAGCCAATAATTAGCAAGTGATTATGTAACAAAAACGACCTTATTTATCTGGACAAATCTAGGACATCGCCGTCACGGATTATACGGTGCCTTGTTTGATTGTCTTAGTAATGACGTCATCATTGAGACTTGGACATCTGAATCGATAATAATTTCAATAGGTTAAACTTCACTTGTTCAATGCCTCTTATCTCCATTGTCTGGAATTAATATGTTTACCACCTAAGGCGGTAATTTGTATAGATTAACAGGGTGTGATTTCAGGGCTTGTCGCGAGAATATTTTTCTTTATTGCGCGTTTACATCTGGTCTAAAAAATCTATCACTCGGAAACCCTCGGCCGATTCAGTCATCTCCGATGAAAGGAACCATTCGGAACACCTCGCCCCGATTCCAGTTCCTTCCAACGTAGACTCGGATGTATGAAGCGGATGAATATGCAGCAAATCGGTGCATTTCTCCGCCGGAAGCGACCGCGTCACATAGTGTATACAAATGGCGGCCCTTGGTGATTTTCAGAGCGATTTTCAAGTGAATTTATCTGCAGCGAAACGTGCTTTAGGTATCGATTTTGAATTGAAGGAAAAACAGCTGGAAGCTCTTGAGTCACTTTATAATGGCAACGACACTATAGTTGTTGTGCCTACGGGATTTGGAAAAAGCCTTATATTCCAGCTATTGCCATGGCTAATGCAGGGTAAATTTAAGAGGGCGGATCCAATGATCGTGATAATCGCTACTCCTTTGAACTCGATTATGCATGATCAGGTGCAGTCGTTGGCAAAGAGGGGTGTTTCGGCCTGCTATCTGGACATTACTGGTTCCAGTGGAAATACTTATGATTATAAAAGGTGAGAATAAAATTTGTTTTAATATTAATTTTCAAATTGTTGAAGGTGGTTAGGCTAGTGCCCTGTAGAAGTACTAAAGTTCGGTTGACTTGCAATTGGTTGCCTAGTGCACTGGAGTTAAAAAGAAATGTGCACTGGAGTTAACTATAGTTCGCAAGGTAATTTTCTTTATCATATGATGCCTGGCCTTTTCCAGTTTTCATCAGTTTATACATCTAGGCAGGACCCAAATCGGATCACTTTTTGCAAAAATAGTTTTAATTAAATAAATGTGTCAACAGATCAGTATAGCCACTCAAAACAACTTACTAACCACTAATAAGATTAAATATGTATATACATAGGTATCGATGGGTGTTCTCACAAACGAAATAAGCACCCGGGGCTCACTTAAGATATTTATAGAACGCTCTGAAGCTAAGTCACCAATCAGCGTCTCCTGTTTTTGCGAATGTCGGGACCCAAATCGGATCACGGCTTGAATTTTGCAGTATCGTACGCTTCAAATGAATATTTTTTTGTCAGCATATTAACATTTTATGATGACCTTTAGAATTTATGTGACAAAAAGTATTTCTATAGTGTGGATTTATTCCTATAGTCCAAAACATAGTGCATAGTCGTTGCACGCGCCATTTTTAAAAACGTAATCAAAACATTGACATTTGAGTTTGAATTACGTTTTCTTGCGCTATTTGATCTTAAAAACTAATTATCTGTAGTCAAAAAATGGTGCATGGCTATCTATTCTAAGACAACATCATTGCTATAACTGATTTGTTGACATATTTATTTATTTATAAGTATATTTGCAAAAAGTGATCCGATGACCGTATCGGCTGAGAAGTTCCGAGTGGAAAGGAACGGTAATCGGGGCGAGGTGTTCCGAATGATCATTTATATACTACAACCTCATGACGTCATGTAACCAACGGTGACAAATACACATCAGTCTGCCTGAAGATGCTCTAGAAGGCAGAAAGTCCTAGCGGTTAATCTTCGATACTTATTATTTTATTCTACAACCTGATATATTTCTCCATTCGAAAAATCAACTAAATCCCATATCTTTAATCCTACTTTTAGGCCTAATCATCATCAAGATTCACGGTTGTTAAAAAGTAAAGAAAGAAAGAACAAGAGGCCCAATGGGCATGCATCGCTCACCTGGTATTAATCTCACACTTGTAATCTTAAAAGGGGACTAAAATACAGCTACAGGCAGAATATCAGTGTTTGATTCATAAGAACCTATTAAAATATTTAAACATATGACGCCTGTGACCTTAAATGTCGAACAAGGACATTAGGTTGAAAGTGGGTCAAGGTCATTCATTTTACGAACTTGGTAGCCCTTTATTCCAGCATGCTACAGGCCCAATATCAGTAACCTGGGCCTTTTGGTTATTGAGAAGAAGTCGTTTGAAGATTTTACGACATTTTACCCCTGTGAGCTTGAAAGTTGGTCAAGGTCATTCATTTGAACAAACTTGGTAGCCATTCATCCCAGCATGCTTCAGGCCCAATATCAGTACCCTGGCCCTTTTGGTTATTGAGAAGAATTTGTTTAAAGTAAAATATTGACGCCGGACGACGGACGGACGACGGACGCCGCACCACGGCATAGCTCACTTGGCCCTTCGGGCCAGGTGAGCTAAAAACGAAAAAAAAGACAATAACGCGAAAATTAAACTGCGCGAAATCGAAATCAAATCTGTACGCAGTATCAAGCACCCTAACGATCAATGTACCTATACGAGTTAAAACAAGGTAGGTTTATTCGTATGTATAAATATCTAGATATAATTAGTAGCAATAGTACTAAGCTTCCTTCCCCGAATAAATCAGTCCGTGAAACTTTTATCAAAACAGTTCATAAACTCCTTCAGTTTGTTCAATCCTCCTTCAATTTGCATTTCTGTTTGAGGATAACTTCCAAGAGTAGTCATTTTGTTTATCATGGCATCACGCAATGTGCTCTCGGCAGTAACGACCTTGACATGAGGCCGCGCGGGGATGTGGTCTGCCCTAACAATGGCCACGCCATTCCGTAGCTGTATAGACAGTGTGGTGCCCGTGTCAGTAAATGCATAAACCACGTGCATTTCCTTGGTGCCGCACGTTTCTGGTCGGTACAGCGTGGACATTGCATGGAACAGGTTCTCCATACTGAGGCTTTCAATCATGTCCTTCCGACCCTGGTCGTTTACCTCTAGAGTTATCTCCCCTAGCGCTTCTCTGGCTTCCGTTAGGTAGTAATTCCGAGCGATGGCGTTGATCTGCTGTGACCCAAGAGAGGTCAAAGCCTGAACCTTTATTTTCTTGGCATCCGTGTTGTCCTTATCAATGTGTAGAACATATGACGCTAATTCTAACGCCCATTGGACGTCATCGTCGTTCCACGCGCGCACGGCTTCCGCCAAGAGACCGTTTATCCCACCGGCCATCGACGCCATTCTTTTAGCCTTGTCTGAGGACGACAGGGGGAAAAGGTCGACGGGGTCACCACTGAACCACCCCAAATACAGCTGAAAGACACCCTTCACTGACCAATTTACCGTACCGTAAAACTCCCGCAGGTAAGGGTGCATGGCAAGTTTTTTGGGAAGTGTGACGTACTTGACGACGTCATCAGGTACGTAGCCTTTGTTGATGAAGCGGAGAGCCTGATCGTGTATGTATTGGATCCCATCCCTGTAAGGCACCAGAATGGCGTTGATGTTCTCGTTGCCTGTCACTGGGCGAGTGTGACTCGGGACAAGATACTCCGGTTTCAAATCAATGATTCTCTGTACGGATGTATACCAGTCCACGGGGTCCCGGGCCGGGGCCCCCCGAATGGTGTAGATGTTTGGATATGCCTTGTAGATATCATCTGCGGACATCATCATTCGCCAGGATGGAACCCAAACCCCGATCTGGTCGTTAGTCTCACCGGGGATGTGCATTATCGTTACTTCAAGACCTGTAAATTACACAAAAGTTTCATTTTAAGTTAATGAATTATATGACAAATAATTTGGTCGGTTGGTTGGTTGTATAGGGTTGAATGTCCTGCCAACAGTTAAGGTCATTTAAGGATGTGACTCCATGTGTGTTGTGTATGCGTGCTTGTGAGTATGTACATTTGTATGCTGGAGGCAGGGTATGTTGGAGTATTTGTCTCTTTATGATAGCGTTGATCTGGTGCCGACTTTGCATGCTACCTCACTGAAAGACCATGCCGAAGGCACCCAGCACAGCATTCCGCCCGTTCACATTATACTGACTATGGGTGAATCAGTTGTTGCCGTTACCTCAAATGTTGAACGTTAAGCAGGAAATAACAACTACCATTTTTAAAGACTTTGGTATGTACCGGCCTTTGAACAGAGCAGATTGCATTCCTCACCTGGACGAGCGTTCAACATCTAATCCAAAAGTGAGGTGTCGCCAAGCAAGGCACTAGGAAACGAAAGGTAATCAAAAGCAGAGAGAAATCCAAAGATCCCAAATATTGCAATTGGTGCAGCAGATTCATTTTGGGCGCTTTTGTGTCCCCAAGTAGAGGTCACAAACTAAAATCCCCAATTCTGCAGGGGGTTCCCACATAAACCGCCTCTTACGACAACGCAGTGGGTAAAAGCAGGTGTATTCTTTTCTCAATTCCGACCTGCAGGGGTGAGAAGGCAATGGCCGAAGGCTTCTATAAAGTCATCAGTCTGCAGGCAGCTTGAGTATATAACAGCTCAGTCCGAGCCTTAAGTTCATTAGAACTAGAGTAAAGTGTGCATGACTCCAAGTGTATTATTTTTCCCATTAATACTTCTCCTGGTACCAATACTGCAACTGGGTAGACTGAAACATTCACAGTCAAGTGGTGTGATCATAACTACAACTGGGTAGACTGAAACAGTCAAGTGGCGTGGGCGTTACTACTACTTGGTAGTCTGAAACAATCATAGTCAGTGGAGTGTTTACAACCAAAAACAGGTTCCTACGAAAGGATTCGAACTCCCGATAGTTGGGTAGGTAGCGTGACATTCCATAACGGATTCCTGGATCAAGCCCAATGACGGATTCCTGGATCAAGCCCCATGCCATCAAAGCGCGTAAATATCTTATTTAGACTATTATGCCATCTTACTCCTACAAATTTCTCGTACAAAATATCTCTTTACTTATGATACTATGAACTTTTCGTCAATCGATGACACTTCTATACATTTACAAAAGATTGATATCACTGACGCTAGGACTTGATTTTTCAAAATAGATAATAAGGGAAATAACTCCATCACAATCACAAATATATATCAGGTATCATATCACCTTAATTAACGCCTATATTTTGACTTTGGATTCAGGAATACCAACTAGCTACTTTTCGATTTGGGTGCCGTGGTGGACATTTATTTTCATTTTTTTTTTCAAACGGAATCCAATATCATGTTTGTTAATACTTAAAAAATAGTACCTGCAATGGTGGCTCGAGTTTCCGGCTTATTGACGAATTTATTTGGCATCACAAATCCAAACGAGTTATCGTCTGTCCCATATTCGACCACCGGACCTATCCCCGCGTTCAGTCGTTTCTTTACAAATACGCCAAACTGTCGCATGGATCGTTGGAATTTGGCGCCAAATGATGCCGTATAAAACTTGTTCACCTCGTTCGGCAGCAGTTCGTGTGCCCATATATCCGGTGGGTGGTTCACGTCCTCGATAAACGCCTGCGCGGAAATGATAAAAGGAAATGATGAACCAATTGATAAATGTACAAAAGGTCTTGAGGCATCCATCCTCGATACCCAGGGGTTACACTCACTTTCGCTCTCTGCATCCCTGGAATTTGTCATAGCAAAATTGAAGGCACACCGCTAGCTATTTGATTTGACTCAGCTAAAAAAATGACCAATCACTAGGCTGATACCTGTCATTTGAAGATTACAGAGAAGCGAAGCCCGACTTCAAAACCAATAAGTGTTACCGTTACGCGACCGCAAGATTATTTTGATGTTCATCAAAGGATCAAACTAGTCTTCCTGTCTCATCCAGAATGTGGCACACATTGTACCTTCGATTTAGCTATGACATATTCCAGTGGTGCAGAGAACGTAAGTGAGCTTAATCCCTTGGGTATCGAGGTGCTAGACATTTAATGCATTAAAAAATGATGATAATGCACGTGCATACATTATTGTCCAATGACATCCTAATCTAACCGATGATGTCGTTATGATGTCGTCGACGTTGTAGATTCGGATTTAAAATAAAGCAGCGACAAATATTTTGCTTTGAGTAAATAGATATTTATGAGTTGAGATTAAAACAAAGACGGACATGATAGTTATTTCACTAATAATGACGTCACTAAATATAAAGCATTCACCTACTGGCTGTACTGGATAAAACTTTGCATTTCCGAGAACAGCTGAGATTCATCAGAGTAGTATCTGCTATACTGACAAACACTCCCAATGAAATGAATACCAACCACAGCGTGACGTCACCTGTCAATTAGAAGTTAAATTATGACCTTGACCCACCTGAGCACCACCGATGTGATCAGCGTGGTTGTGAGTATAGACGAGGGCTTTGATTGGCTTCTTAGAAATCTTTCGGAACTCCTCTAGTATAGCCTTAGCTGCTACAATACTTTCAGTGACATCGACAATGATGAGACCCTCTGGGGCTATCAGCATTATTGAGTTCCCAAGCGCGAAACCTATGGCCATATAGGCGTTATCGGTAACCTGAAAAGAATAAATATTCAAAATATTATAATTTTTTACAAGGTACGCACTTTATTAGTATATATCAAAGTGAATATATTAAGAGTTACTTAACTGATGCAATAAAACTTCTGTACAATTCTCCTAAACCAATGCCTAACGTTTGTAAATATTCAGTAAAACCTCGATATAATGTCTCAGGTTTGTAAATATACAGTAAAACCTCGTATAATGTCTCAGGTTTGTAAATATACAGTAAAACCTCGATATAATGTCTCCGGTTTGTAAATATACATATAACCTCGATAATTATAATTATAATATAATGCATTATGTTTTGTCCATCTACAGTAAAACCTCTATGATATATCTAACGTTGGTCAATATACAGTATACCTCGGTATAATGCCTAACGTTGGTCAATATATAGTATACCTCGGTATAATGCCTAACATTGGTCAATATACAGTATACCTCGGTATAATGCATAACGTTGGTCAATATACAGTATACCTCGGTATAATGCCTAACGTTGGTCAATATACAGTATACCTCGGTATAATGCCTAACGTTGGTCAATATACAGTATACCGCGATATTATACCTAACGTTGGTCAATATACAGTATACCTCGGTATCATGTCTAACGTTGGTCAATATACAGAATACCTCGGTATAATGCCTAACGTTGGTCAATATACAGTATACCTCGGTATAATGTCTAACGTTGGTCAATTTACAATAAACTCCGATATAATGCCTAACGTTGGTCAATATATAATATACCTCGATAAAATGCCTAAAGTTGGTCAATATACAGTTTACCTCGATATAATACCTAACGATGGTAAATATACAATATACCTCGATATAATGCCTAACGTTGGTCAATATATAGTATACCTCGGTATAATGCCTAACGTTGGTCAATATATAATATACCTCGATAAAATGCCTAAAGTTGGTTAATATACAGTTTACCTCGATATAATTCCTAACGTTGGTCAATATACAATTAATTTCGATATAATACCTAACGTTGTTCAATATACAATTAACTTCGATATAATACCTAACGTCGGTCAATATACAGTATACCTCGATATAATACCTAATGTTGGCCAATATACAATAAACTTCGATATAATCCCTAACGTTGGTCAATATACAGCATACATCGATAAAATACCTAACGTTGGTCAATATACAATATACCTCGATATAATGCCTGACGTTGGTCAATATACAGTATACCTAGATATAATACCTAACGTTGATCAATATACAATAAACTTCGATATAATACCTAACGTTGGTCAATATACAGTATACCTAGATATAATACCTAACGTTGATCAATATACAATAAACTTCGATATTATGCCTAACGTTGTTCAATATACAGTATACCTCGATATTATACCTAACGTTGGTCAATATACAGTATCCCTCGGTCTAATGCCTAACGTTGGTCAATATACAATTAACTTCGATTTAATACCTAACGTTGGTCAATATACACTTAACTTCGATATAATACCTAACGTCTGTCAATATACAATATACCTCGATATAATACCTAACGTTGGTCAATATACAATATACCTCGAAATAATACCTAACGTCTGTCAATATACAATATACCTCGATATAATACCTAACGTTGGTCAATATACAATTAACTTCGATATAATACCTAACGTTGGTCAATATACAATTAACTTCGATATAATACCTAACGTTGGTCAATAAACAGTATACCTCTATATAATGCCTAACGTTGGTCAATATACAGTATACATCGATAAAATACCTAACGTTGGTCAATATACAATAAACTTCGATATAATGCCTAACGTTGGTCAATATACAATATACCTCGATATAATACCTAACGTTGGTCAATATACAATATACCTTGATATAATGCCTGACATTGGTCAATATACAGTATATCTCGATATAATACCTAACGTTGGTCAATATACAGTATACCTCGGTATAATGCCAAACGTTGGTCAATATACAGTATACCTCGATATAATACCTAATGTTGGTCAAAATACAAGAAACTTCGATATAATACATTGTACCTAACGTTGGTCAATGTACAGTATACCTCGATATAATGCCTGACGTTGGTCAATATAAAGTATATCTCGATATAATACCTAACGTTTGTCAATATACAGTATACCTCGATATAATACCTAACGTTGGTCAATATACAATCAACTTCGACATAATGGCTGACGTTTGTCAATATACAGTATACCGCGATATTATACCTAACGTTGGTCAATTTACAGTATACCTCGATATAATTCCTGACGTTGGTCAATATACAATCAACTTCGACATAATGGCACTCGTTTGTCAATATACAATGAACTTCGAAATAATGGCACTCGTTTGTCAATATACAATAATCTTCGACATAATGCCTAACGTTTGTCAATATACCGTATACCTCGATATAATCCCTAACGTTGGTCAATATACAATAAACTTCGACATAATGGCTGACGTTTGTCAATATACAATAAACTACGACATAATGACTTACGTTTGTCAATAACCAATAATCTTCGACATAATGGCTAACGTTTGTCAATATACAATAAACTTCGACATAATGGCTAACGTTTGTCAATATACAATGAACTTCGACATAATGGCTAACGTTTGTCAATATACAATAAACTTCGACATAATGGCTAACGTTTGTCAATATACAATAAACTTCGACATAATGGCTAACGTTTGTCAATATATAATAATCTTCGACATAATGGCTAACGTTTGTCAATATACAATAATCTTCGACATAATGGCTTACGTTTGTCAATATACAATTAACTTCGACATAATGGCTAACGTTGGTCAATACACAATAAACTTCGACATAATGGCTGACGTTTGTCAATATACAATAAACTTCGACATAATGGCTAACGTTTGTCAATATACAATAAACTTCGACATAATGGCTAACGTTTGTCAATATACAATAAACTTCGACATAATGGCACTCGTTTGACAGTATCGCAAATACTCCTTTTATTTGATACTTGTGCCCCACCTACATATTTCAAAGACACGACATCAACAACCTCTTGGGGGCATCCCCACTATTATCCCCACATCACTAGGTAAATCCTATTGTGTGTCGTTCGCAAAAGAAATCCCCGCATGCTCATTGTCAATTCGGAGCATATTCTCCCATCTGTAAGGTGTGACAAGAAATCTTCTATGCCAGGGATGAGTTACTTTTGGTTGTCTAACCCGAGGGTTTTTTCGAGGGTTTGATAACCAAATAATCATCATGAGTGTTCAACACATATAGCGATAAGTAAAGATTATGTCTCTCCCATTCTTCTTATACTATGTTTGGAAACAATATATTTCCATCACAACAGTTGGCGGAGAATAATAGAATCTCACATGGGTGTGGTCCTTGGACAAGGAAATCTCAACCCGAGGGTAAGAGTTTGGCTGTCCAGGGACCATACCCATGCTTGATTATTTTTCTCCCATACTCGAAATAAACATGCCACTGTAAATACTCCGTGGCATTCACATGCTTGTTTTCCATAACGCGCATGAATACAACTATGTTAATTCTATAGGGGTGATGAACCCTGAACATTAAATCAGAAATCCATTTAAAGCACAACGTTTACAATATTTTTATTTAATAATCCAACAGCTATAATAATTATATCAGTTAATATACCTTATAATAAGTACAAAAGAATAATGAAGATTTAATTGTCAAAACAACGGAACTATTCCAAACGCCGACGTCATTTGGCGGACTTGACTAGCGGCAATAATTCCATTCATCATTTTATCACTGTCGGAGAGAGGTCATAGCGTCCTGACGTCATATCGCGTGTAGCTGTCTTTCTCTCGGGTGTGTCTCCCGTTTTAGCCGGGGAACATCAGCTTGCCGCGGTGTTGAAGCTGCTCGAGACCATACGCAAGCTACACTTTACAAAACCCGGTCAAAACAAACAACTCCTGAAGATTGCCCAAATCAAAACAGGCGTGAACAACACCGGTACACGCTACCCGAAGACAAGATACGGGGCCTGCGATACTGCCAAACTGGGATCCGGCAGTCCGTAACTCGCTCCAAGTATTCCTCCGACCTCGTTCCCATCCCCCAACCACAAACACCCCCCAAACAGGGACTCCCACTTCCCCCATCCCGCCAAACCGAAGCTGACACGTCGCTGGCAAGAGGAAGCAATACTAATCATAGTTCACAGAGAAAATGTCAACAAAAAACGAACGTACACTAAACACAATAGAAGTGAAACGAAATATTCAAAGGAAACAACGGTGAGGTAAATAACTACACAGAAACAAACACGGCCAGACAACACAACCCACAGTTGATTGGTTCACACCACCATTGGAGATATATGCTAGACAGCACCTGTCGAACAACCAAGGCCGAGTAAATAACCGACCTTGGACGGCTCTTTATGAATCAAATCTGTCAAAATTGTTAAGAAAAAGTCCAGATGTTTTCAAATAGCTACACAGAAGTTTAACGTCCTCGCAACAGCCAGGGCCATATGAGGACGGGTGTCTAGAAAGACACACCAGTCAGGGCCATATGAGGAAGGGTGTCTAGAAAGACACAACAGTCAGGGTCATATGAGGACGGGTGCCTAGAAAGACACAACAGTCAGGGTCATATGAGGACGGATGCCTAGGGAGACACAACAGCTACGGTCATATGAGGACGGTTGCCTAGAAAGACACAACAGCTAAGGTCGTATGAGGACGGGTGTCTAGAAAGACACAACAGACAGGGTCATATGAGGACGGGTGCCTAGGGAGACACAACAGTCAGGGTCATATGAGGGCGGGTGTTTATGGAGACACAAGAGCCAGGGTCTTATTAGGACGGGTACCTAGGGAAACACAACAGCCAGGGTTATATGAGGACGGGTGCCTAGGGAGACAAAACAGCCAGGGTCATATGAGGACGGACGGTGCCGAGGAAAACAACAGCCAGGGTCATATGAGGACGGGTGTCTAGGGAGACACAACAGTCAGGGTCATATGAGGACGGGTGCTTAGGGAGACACAACAGCCAGAATCATATGAGGACGGGTGTCTAGGGAGACAAAACGTCAAAATTGTTATAAAATAAGTATACACACGCTGTTTAATATAAACTGAACGCACACAAGTTGTATTACTTATCAAACCAAAACGGCTCGCAAACGTACGTAATAATTGTAGGTGAAAATGGAGAGTCAGCACTTGGCGTGTCCTGTTTTAAACGCCAAAAAAGAAAAATTACGTCATACAAGATCTTGTTCGTTGGGATGAAGGACGTGTTTAGGGAGTGACTATAGGGAGTACAAATTGATGTAGGTATAACATATGTATACTTGTGGTAAGTATTACTGAAAGGGAGGTAACTTCACGGTAGGGTAAGTTTAATGTTCAATGTATGGAATGTTCATTTTTCAAGGTCTGGGTGTTCAGTTTACTTCTATCCTCTATTCGATCAAAACCCAAAAGTTTGTGTCTTTGTAGACAAAAACAAGCGAGTGGCGTCTGCATTGTGTCTTCGCCTCAAAGGCTTACACGTCTTTGTCAGTACGCAACAACAAAAGTATATATTGTTTCAAAAATACGGTTGCTGATTGAGGACATCCAAAAAATAGAATATTTTTATCTCGTTATAACGACTTAGTGTCTCGTTATAACGACTTAAACACGATACTGTCGATATAAAAAAAAATCGCTATGAACTATAATGGCAATATATGTGGAGTTTTTTACCATTACAACAAAATGTTTCCGGATAAACGGGAGCCCGATAAGACACCCGGCGGGTGTTTGACCTCTACTTATTTAGTCACTGACCTTGACGATCTCCCGCTTCGTGAAAACGTCCGAGTGTTTCACCAGTTCCTCATTCTCGACCAGCTGCTTGACCACCATGTGTTCTACGGACGGCCGGGTGAAGGTCAACCAGACTTGGTGACCAATATACGCTCCCAGTACGGACAACAGGACAACAAACACGGTCTGGGCAACCGCCATTACACTTTTGACAAAATTCTGTTATTAGCCAAGACAACCTGTACAATAAAGAGATACATTTATTATAATTTGATGTCACTTATATACGACAGATCCGATTGAAACATGATCAAATGGCAAATCAAATAAGTTTTAAAGGTCTTGAACCCCCATCACCATCATCACCCTGCTCCAGACCTTCTCGAATACGCCTTGTGTTATTTAAACAATATTTTTACATCCGTCCCTGCTCTTTACATGAGCTTCTTAAATTATGAATTTCAATGTAACAGGGGTCAAATATGTTGAAACTTTAAACAACTCCTTCTGAATAACCAAAATCCCCAGGGTGATGATATTTGGCCAGTAGCATGCTGAGATAAAGGGCTACAAAGTTTGTTCCAATGAATGACCTTCACCTATATTCAAGGTCACAGCGGTCAAATATGTTTAAAACTTTAAACAACTTCTTCTGAATAACCAAAATGCCCAGGGAGATGATATTTGGCCAGTAGCATGCTGGGGTAAAGGGCTACCAAGTTTGTTCAAATAAATGACCTTCACCCATATTCAAGGTCACAGGGGTCAATTGTTGAAAAATACCTTTCAACAACTTCTTCTGAATAACCAAAAGGCCCAGGATGTTTAAATTTAGTCAGTAGCATACTAGGATGAAGTGCTACCAAAATTGTTTAAATGTATGACCTTGAATCATATTCAAGGCCACAAGGAGCAAATATGTTAAAAATCTTAAACAACTTGTTCTGAATATTTAGTCAGTAACATGCTGGGATCAAGGAATACCATGTTTGTTAAAGTCAATGACTTTGACTTATATTCAAGGTCACAGGGGTCAAATTTGTTTAAAATCTTAAAACGACAGCTTCTGAATAACCATGGGTCCCAGGATGTTGATATTTTGTAAGTTGCATCCTGAGATGAAAGGCTATAAAATGTGTTCAACATAATGACCTTGTTCGACTTTCAGTCACAAGGGTGAAATGTTTTTGAATAAATTTTAATCATAAATCCTGATATTTTGCCTGTAGCTTTATTTTAGATCATTTTTAAGGTTACAAGTGTGAGACTTATACCAGGTGAGCGATGCAGGCCCATTGGGCCTCTTGTTTGTCAATTTGCGTAGTGCGGACAGCTTTTCAAAGTCCTGAATGAAATAAGCTACAAACTGCGAATAGCATTCACAAGACCCAGGCAGGACAGCCTTGCCTTTGACTTCAGACAGGCTAATAATACTTCAGACAGGCTAATAATACTTCCGACAGATACTTCAGACAGGCTAATAATACTTCAGACAGGTTAATAATACTTCAGACAGGCTAATAATACTTCAGCCATGCTAATACTTCAGACAGGCTAATAATACTTCAGACATGCTTATACTTCAGACAGGCTAATAATACTTCAGACAGATACTTCAGACAGGCTAATAATACTTCAGACAGCCTAATAATACTTCAGACAGGCTAATAATACTTCCGACAGATACTTCAGACAGGCTAATAATACTTCAGACAGCCTAATAATACTTCACACAGGATAATAATACTTCAGACAGGCTAATAATACTTCACACAGGATAATAATACTTCAGACAGGCTAATACTGCAGACAGGCTAATAATACTTCAGACAGGCTAATCCTTCAGACAGGCTAATACTTCAGACAGGCTAATAATACTTCAGACATGCTTATACTTCAGACAGGCTAATAATACTTCAGACAGGTTAATAATACTTCAGACAGGCTAATAATACTTCAGCCATGCTAATACTTCAGACAGGCTAATAATACTTCAGACAGCCTAATAATACTTCAGACAGGCTAATAATACTTCCGACAGATACTTCAGACAGGCTAATAATACTTCACACAGGCTAATACTTCACACAGATACTTCAGACAGGCTAATAATCCTTCACACAGGCTAATACTTCACACAGGCTAATTCTTCACACAGGCTAATAATACTTCACACAGGCTAATAATACTTCACACAGGCTAATAATACTTCACACAGATACTTCACACAGCCTAATAATACTTCAGACAGGCTAATACTTCACACAGATACTTCAGACAGGCTAATAATCCTTCACACAGGCTAATACTTCACACAGGCTAATACTTCACACAGGCTAATTCTTCACACAGGCTAATAATACTTCACACAGGCTAATAATACTTCACACAGATACTTCACACAGCCTAATAATACTTCAGACAGGCTAATACTTCACACAGGCTAATAATACTTCAGACAGGCTAATAGTTCACACAGATACTTCAGACAGGCTAATAATACTTCAGACAGGCCAATACTTCACACAGGCTAATAATACTTCAGACAGAGACTTCAGACAGTCTAATAATACTTCACACAGGATAATAATACTTCAGACAGGCTAATAATACTTCACACAGGATAATAATACTTCAGACAGGCTAATACTTCAGACAGGCTAGTAATACTTCAGACAGGCTAATACTTCAGACAGATACTTCACACAGGCTAATAATACTTCAGACAGAGACTTCAGACAGTCTAATAATACTTCACACAGGATAATAATACTTCAGACAGGCTAATACTGCAGACAGGCTAATAATACTTCAGACAGGCTAATCCTTCAGACAGGCTAATACTTCAGACAGGCTAATACTTCAGACAGGCTAATACTTCAGACAGGCTAGTAATACTTCAGACAAGCTAATACTTCAGACAGATACTTCACACAGGCTAATAATACTTCAGACAGGCTAATAATACTTCACACAGGCTAATAATACTTCACACAGGCTAATAATACTTCACACAGATACTTCACACAGGCTAATAATACTTCAGACAGGCTAATACTTCACACAGATACTTCAGACAGGCTAATAATACTTCACACAGGCTAATACTTCACACAGATACTTCAGACAGGCTAATAATACTTCAGACAGGCTAATACTTCACACAGATACTTCAGACAGGCTAATAATACTTCAGACAGGCTAATACTTCGGACAGGCTAATAATAGTTCACACCGGCTAATACTTCACACAGGCTAATACTTCAGACAGATACTTCAGACAGGCCGATTTCTTGGTTGGACAGCACATGACCGATAGATCGGCGGTTTCGCACGGCGTGATAGAGGGTAAACAGGACTGGTTGATCATCTGCGTATGCTGCTCTTATTAGCATTTGGTCTCGTTTTTAAGGTGACAGTATTTACTTCATGAGTAATAATGCGACGGAGATTTGTTTTGAACGTGTCCAATTGCTATAAAATGTTGTTAGACTTACACAAGTCCCGCTACGGTATGATATCACTGGGCTGTTTTTTATTTCATGTACAAATAAGATACATGATTTTTATGAACCTATACATGAAAAGAAATTCTGCACACTGTTCAACAAACTATCAAACTGCCACTGTGTTGGAACCATCCCTAATATTTCGCCTTCGTTTTTCTGAATTTTGTTATTTCATCATATAAGTACACATACTACGCACTTAGCTACTCCTTCGTTTCAACAGTAGTTTAGACAACTTTGATTTCAAATTAGTTGGACCTTGGATGGGTCACAGGTACTATAGCCTCGTCTGTCAACAATTATAGGTGTGTTGACAGACGAGGCTAGTACCTGTGGATGGGTGACCTCCCGCACGTTACAATAGAAGATCGAAACAGTTGTAGGACGTGTTGTAATTCATTTACGGCATATCGTATCTACCTGTGCGTAGGTGTGAGTTGGGGGGGGGGGGGGGGGGGGGGNAGTAGTAGTGCGGAGCGGATTTATTTCCGGGATCATCCATTTTAGTATATTTCTATTTACCACGCTTGAGTGGGAATCATCTGATCTAGTAATTTTTTATCTACCCCGCTGAATAATCCAAATTAGCATATATCTATCTACCACGATGGATCGGGGATAATCCAATTTAGTACATTTTTATTCTCTTCTACATAAATCATCAGCGGATTATGAAACTAGATATCTCAAAATCCTTACCTTTTTTGTACTTTGAAAAGAGTTTACTTGATATTTGACGAACCGTATAGCCTTGGTATTTATCCGTTTGAAGAGAATTCGCAAAAGTGTGGCAAAATACATTTTAGTTTGTCAATTAACCAATAACATCAAAATATTTTTTTCACAATTTTCAAAAATAGGAAACCTCTTATCAATACGTTGTATAAATAAGTAATGAACGGTAATTTTTCAATCGTCATGCTAATATGAACGCAGAGCAGTTATATAAATAGTCCATGAAGGTCATACCGGTATGCTTATATTTAGGTTTAGCAGAGTTGAGGTCTGGTGTCACATTTTTGTTATACAGACTTTGTCATCTGTATATTTTTATAGTTAAATACACAAAAGAATTAGTCATTTTGTTGTTGTTGTTTTTGTTAATATTCTGAAAAAATGTCAATTTCGGCCTTTTTTAAGTTGTGTGGTTAAGTTAACAATTCTTGGTGGCAAAACCTGAAATGGCCTTGATAGAGTGTAAACAACATGGCGCCACGATGGTCAGTGACCGTGAACTTTTTGTACTGACCAATGCACTGTAAAGTCACGAGCAGTGCGCCGTAACCACACTGACGCGTGTTCTACTGCATACAGAGGAATACAACAGACATTTCATAATTAAAGGTGGTAAATATTTAAGTATAATTAACAATGGCATAGGTAACCAATACGTACACACCTGGACAGCGGTCAGTCCTCGTGCAAGTCAGAGAGAGGTCGAGCGTCCTACTACTACCTTGTTATTTGTAACGGCCCACATAGAATGAAAAAAATGTGTATGGAAGCCCAACCATACTATTGAACACATAAGGTGGTGTATGGGGACGAAATGTATCAAATATGACGCGAGACGATGTATGGAGACCCGATCATACTTTCGTACACTTCAATTTGGTGACTTTTAATGTAATAAAATCCCCTTAACGTAACTAGAGGTAGCACTTACGTACACATACATCCCTTAATGTTATTTTTACCATCAGGATATTTATTTTTATTAAGGGTGGTCCCAACAGCTTACAATGCATGTTTTGTTTACATTAAGGAGATAAAATGTGTATTTCTTTTCAATTAAGGGTTATCAAATCGTACCCCTTAATTCATTCTTTACACAAAACGATTTTTTTTTTATTGAATGTTGCTTCAGTTCATCTCTTAATGTAAAATTATTTACAGTAAGAAATTGTTTACCTGGCGTGTCAAATCTCTGCATTATGCGTCACTTCCGGCAAACATGACGTTCTAGAGGGCAATCTCAAAATTGTAAGTTTAATTCCTGATTCCAATATCTAACATACAGTTCAGGTGTACACGTTTTACAGACGACATTTGAAAGTTTGTTGGACATCTCTCGTGAGAAGAATTAACGACGTCAAAAAAACAGGAAGTTGGTTACAAAGAGGACGCTATTGCTTTTAAAATCCATCTGATTCCGTAAATACACTTCAGCTATGAACTTCTGATATTTACTTCAATTGATGTTAATTTTCTATATACGTCGTAGATAAAATTGAAAGAGTCCGGTCCCAGCTATTATACCCATACGATTACAGTGAGAGAGCCTCTCTGATTGAGGTGTATGTTTTCCGGGGGCTTCGGAAACGGCGAGAGAATACTACAATCAACTCCGCCTCCGACCTAAAGAAGATTTAACAAGGGGTATTATTTAATCAGGAATACCGGTAAACTGGCTAATTTGGTGGCGTAAACTTAGTGTGGTTAGTAATTATACAGCGACAGTGTCACACGGCTGTCGATTTTATCTACCACAGACTAGTGTGGTGAGTAAGTATACAGCGACAGTGTCACACGGCTGTCGATTTTATCTACCACAGACAGGGAGAGTCTGGCTACGGTATTCAGGAGCCATGGTCAACACGTTCATAACACAACCACAAACAAGGACAGGGAATTAATGATTTGATAACAGAAGATTGATTCATTTGTTGACAAATGAAAAACTACATGGAGAGTAGTACCCTAGCTGTGCCTCGTCCGAATAAAACAATTTTTTATTCCATCCGACCCTATTCCAGTTTCTCCATTAGTACGACTATAAACAAAATATGACATGTATCAAATCGAATAAAAACACTACATAAAGAAAACTAAATCCTGATAGTTTGAATTGAACATTTCCTCCATTTCAAAGAAAACAGCTCAACGTTATTTTACAAATAACAACTTATGCACGGTTTTCTGTCTTTTTTTAGTGTTCTTTGGTTTACAGCGAGATTATTAAATTAACTTCTTTTTCTACCGGGGAAACTTCACAATAATAACACACTTCCAAAGTCAATGTCAAGTCCGAAGAAGACAGCAATACAGAACAGGAAGCAACATGTGCCGATGTCTGTCGGGGTTTAATTTCTTGTTAAAATCTGGACGTATTACCCTGGAACCGTAGAGCTATTTTGGGATTCGTTACCATAGTCAAAACCCCAGGGGTACGGTTCAAAAGATGACGTATGATAGGGTCCTACATGTGGATCAGGAAACTCCTGGTTCTACTTCCGCTATTATTTAACTATTGGTTCATGTTGTCTTCCCTAGCGTTTTGGTGTCTCCTCTGTTTCCCGAGTTGCTCCTTTTTGCATCGACTCGATCTGAAATTCATAAAAACAGATCTTTAATACCATGACAGCAGAAAATGTACACATCTGCTGAAGTGTGTAACCAGTTTTCAACAACGTTCTATTTGCGCGAAACCTAACGGAGGGAAAATAGTATTAGGGGAGACAATCAAATCTAAGTCTGGTATACAGACAAGTGGCGCTGCTACTTTGTTTGGCAGTTTACTATGATGATCACACACGAACTTGACAACAATTCAGGCTCAGCCCATCCTCGATACACCAGGGGTTACAATCATTTTACTCCCTGCACCCCCGGGATATGTCATAGCAAAATTAAAGGAACGCGGCTAGCTATTGTATTGGTCTCAGATAAAAAAAATAAAAAAAAAACCGACCAATCGCTAGGCTGATACCTGTCCATTGAATATTACAGGGGAGGGACACCCGTCTTCAAAGCCAGTCCATTTTACCGTTACGCGACCGCGAGATTCTTTTGATGTTAATCAAATGATCAAACTGATATAAGATAGCGTAAGTGAGCGTAACCCCTGGAGTATCGAGGAAGGGCTCAACCTTACACTGAACTTATAAAAACAAAATAGTCTTCAACCAACACACGGCTAGCATCTCATGGCGAGATTACAGGGCGTTATTTTCACTTGTTATTTTAGTTTTGACGGCGTTGTTGCTGCTGTTTTTTTAAGACCAGAGGTGAAGTTTTCCGAACGGATCAATTTATTGTCTAATCGCAACTAATGCTCCCTTTTCGTCCAATCCAAGACTGTCAAGACAAGGTTGGAATATTCTGATTGAACCAGATTACAATAATTGTTTGAATTATCTGCCATGAAAAATAACATATCAAACACAATATTGCATATTGCGCAATAACTGGTATCTACATCCAACCTGAGTGACTTTGTCGTCAAAGAGGAATAATAAGCTATAGACCGTGGTCGACATACGACATAATAACCGTTCTGCCGATGAAATGTCTGCATGGTCAATTGCTGATGTGCCAGACCTTTTTACCGAATTGTGTAGTTCGCATGACTTCATTGAATTGACAATTATAAATCACTGAATTAAAGATGACTTCCTGTGGACCTTAATTCCTGTCTCCTGCCATTTCCGTCCATTTTCTCAGCCGATTATACGGTGCGGTTCGGGACACAAATACATGTTCGTGTCCGTATTTCTACTGGATGCCGTCTGCTGGTTTCATTTAATCACTAGGGTCTACGTTACGGAGAGGAGAAAACGGCTTTTCTATCTATTTTCATTAAAATTTGGTCGTAAATAATGGTATACGGGCTCATTAAGCAACAACTGCTGAGCGACTTTGATTAAAATTCCTCAAGTTAGTATTAAAAACTGTGACACAAAAAGCGTATCTCTACGGGTAGTTATGTAACCGTACAGCAGATGACGTGTCAAGAAGATAACTTGTTACGTGTTTGTGACCTCCAATCAAAGAGAGTTCCAAACAGTCAATCTCGTAAACTAGCTGTCATGAATTTTATTGAATCATAATTTTGACTTATCAAGTCAATTATTGAGGGATCTGCATAATAGACTGACAAGGAAGCGGTCTGATTTTAATTAGATTGGACAATGCTAACCCTAAAAGAAGTTTTTATTGTGAAATTAGCAAATTAATTATACAAGGGAGATAAATCTTAAACATTAAAAAAAAAAAAAAAAAAAAAAAAAAAAAAAAAATTTTTCAGTTTATGGTACAAACTCAAGGTCACAATTACGTCTGTAATAAAAAGCAAGGGTTCCTGCGACCTACAAAAGTATACACAGATTTTTCGGTATATATCGTATAACTTCAAAAAATAATCATGGGGATTTATTGTAATTTTATTTAAAAATACATATAACACTTTTAAGTTCATTTATTTATTCATTTCTGATAAGAGCAATACAATTTTGCACAAAAATACAACATTGCGCAGTAATTTCATCGCAAAGCACCTTCAACCAATCAGAAGTTAGAACTACAAATACCGCGCCAAAAATTACGGTATACGACGTCATCACTTTTTGTGTTGCATATTTTTTAAGCTGTACGATATACCATAAAAAGCAAGCATTAGGGGAAGAGCAAACATTTTATCATTTCAGTTTAAGGATAACCTGAGACTTATATAATACAGCCAGTGACTGTTTCGCATGGGTTTCACGATATGTTACGAAAATGTAACTTAAAACTATTATATTTCAACAAGATTCATACCCTGGACCTCAAAACTCCTTAGACCGACGCTCTATTGCTCTAGCCGACTTAACCCGATTGTGTACCTGGTCAAGGGCTATCTGCCTGGTCAAGGGCTATCTACCTAGTCCAGTTCGATACAATCCTCCCTCCAAAACTAACACCGTCACGCGATGTTACAACCATATGTTCCAGGGACAGCTACTAATTTCTGAGATATATCGCGTCCAATATGGCGGGCTTCAGAAAATATGTTGATAAAGCAAGTACATGTAGTATCTACCCTTGATCTCACAAGCATGATTGTACCCCAGTTTTGGTTTAGTGTTTATGAAAGTGATGAAGTGTTTAATCGATTCCCTTCAGCCAAAAAGACAAACTTCGACTTCTACGTGATCTGACCGGCGTTCTTATAAGTGGTAGATGAAATGTACAATGGGTTTTCTATTTCTGTTTATGTCTACAACGTCATCGTCTTCTCAAAGACCTACAAGGAATTCGAACAGCTTTGGGATCTGGAAACTGCTGTCATAAGGATAGTCGGTTTAAAGCTGTTGTCCGATATCGTTGCTGCAATAGAAAGTGAATATATTGGAAATATGGTTTCCAAAGAGAGAATTGAGCCGTATACAGTTTGAGAAAATGATGAACTGGCCTCGGTCAGAACCCGGACGACGTTAGCAGATTTCACGGTTCCTGTTGATAGTATTGGCGATTTCACTTCAGCTGGATAACCAGGCCACTGTCAACACAAGTAAGAGTTCCACAAGTAGAAATAGCTGATTACTCAGTCTTTGATGTTGAAACCGAACTGGAGGAAACACCGGAGACATCTCTTGTAGAGTTACAGAGACTGGAGAAGGACTAGCTCATGCAGTTCAATCCCCAGAAATGTTAGCTCATGCATGCACCATTAAAGCGTCATCCTCTTCGGTCCAAACATGACGTCTATGGACAC